GATCAGGAACACACACAGAGTTTGGATGTTGTATATAAAAAATAAGTTTATTTCGTTTGGTTCGGTTCATTAACGTGAAATAAAATGCGTATTTTGAGCACACGACAAAAACGGAAATTTTATCGATTAGAGTCACCGACGTGACCATAAATAATGACTTGAAACCACTTAATTAATTATACTTTGCAACACTTGACACTTTTCAAGAGACTCTAAACCGTGAATCAGACAAAATATTTTTTTCTATCTCTACATTTCGTTTCTATTTGGCTTGTCAATTTGTCCGCATTGGGATCGTTTATTGTTGAAATCTTTATTTAGTATTATTAAATTTGATTACACTGATACTTGAGAATATTGTACTTTTTAACAAGTGTCCATCGCCATTTCATACGCAGTGGTTTTTTTGCACAAAATCGTTGAAATTGAATTTGTCAAATAAAGTCGATTCGAATCAAAAAAAAAGTCTAAAAGCAATGCGAAATACTTGATAAAGCGCTTGTTGACCATTTTGACGGTGATAATGCATATAAACATGAAAAAACAATTCGGGTGTAATAACAGAAACTTAGTGACAGTTCCACTTGCACAATCACCTTATCAATGATTAACATGGAGAGCTTCTGGCGACTCTGAGAAGAAAACATAACAGCAACTGCATGTTTGTGCCTCGCGCGCACATTGTTACACATCACATCATCGTCAGCACATATCGCGCTGCATACATACTCTAGTATAGCACATGGCAAAGCCAAAGACGATGTGAACGTCAACACTTTTTTTTCTGTATGGAATAAATCGACACTCGAATGTAATTCAAATCGTACGGTACAAGTGCATGGGTTTTGTTTTTTTTTACGCACAAGACGTCTTGTCGACCTATTAAAAGAAACACTCGACAAAGAAATAAGTGTGAAGAACAATATAAGACGCGGAGAAAAAAGAAAGAGTAATAACAGTTTTTATCACGTTATCAACTTTTGTAAATCTCACGTCATTAACTTTGTTCAGATGTTGAATTCCATTTTCAATTTCCACTCGTTCGCTAACAAATGACGACGCTGTCGAGTGATGTTTTAAATGGAACAGATATTTGTGTCTTGTTGAAAATTCACTTTAATCATGATTTGAAGCAGAAAAAAAGGCTGGATTAATTTTTTGCGATTCATCGATTTATTTGGCGTGTTTTGTGAAAAGCACAAGTGACCACTCGCCGAACACTCTCCAGCAGTAAGTGAGTGAATGAGTTTGAAAAGCAAACGAATCACGCTCACTAGCTCCGGATATGGTGCTCATAAAATTATCACAATTTCAGTTTTATGGTTCACACAGAGGAAGAAAAGTAACACAAAGAAAACTGAAAAGAAATGGTGCCTCAGTGTGTGAGTGGTGTTTATGTGTGCGCGCGCTGTTCAACAGCTTGGCAAACAATCAATCGAAAATACATTAAAAATGCTGGATGCGTGCATAAAGGAAACATGAAAAATTACACAAAATTAACTCAATTATAAGTAATTAGGCGAATTAACATAGCTTTCTCTCTCTCTCTCTCTCTCTCTCTCTCTCTCTCTCTCTCTCTCTCTTTCACTCTCTCGTTTGCTCTTCGTATTCGCGCGTCGTCTTTTTCATTAAGCGTCTTTGTGTTTTCATGAAGATTTTTTTAGCATTAATTTTTTAACCGTTGCTTAGTGCGTTCGCGCTGAAAGCACGTCAAAGAACTCGATAGCACGAAAGCGGCTATAAAGAACCATCAATCGTGTAAAGTGGAAGAAATAGCGAGCAAAAAGAAAGAAAAACAACAAAACCTTTTTGCAGCCGACGAAAATGAATTGCTTGTGTATGGAGGGCAATGTAGGCATTCGGTTAAACGAATGCGGAAAGAAAAACGTATAAAAATGAAACAACAACACCACCAACAGTCGATGATGTTTTATGTGAAGATGAAGAAACATAAACGAACCGCGAAAAGTATGAAATTACGAGCGATGGCAATAATACGGGGCCAAGTGGAATGAAGTAAAAACAACTGAATACTTATGAAATACGTACCAGCAGCACAAATGATTCAATGCACAAAGAATGGAATAGCGGACGTACAGAAGGGAGAAGCAGAAATAGAAAATAAAATAGGAATTTAACAACTTAAGTAACACCAAAACCACGAGCGCCAAACCAAGCATATGCATTCGATGTAACGGCAAGGAATAGCGAACGATATAGGAACAAGGAAAAAACACAAACACACACATAGTATTCACAAACATCAAACGTGGAAAATGAATTGCGACCACAAAGGACAAAATGAACATGACAAATAACAATTAAAGAGCATGGCACCAGAATTACTATCGTTGGCAATTGCGGATAGACAACAGATGTATAGAGTAACAAAATATTAATCAACGTCGATCTATTAAATTGACTAATCATAAAAATAAAGCCGCAATACGTTGCTACCAAATCAGTGGTCTGTACAGCGTACAAGAATGCAGCCAATGTGCATGTGATATGTGGATATGATGATGATGATGCATCGGTATGGAATGTGCGCAATAATGCATGAACATGTGTATGCAACGAATGAGGCGAAGCGCGCATTCATAATTTATTAAAACATGCATGACATGGAATGAATCATGCCGTCATCTCAAAGAAAACTGCATCGGCAAGCGGACCGAGCGCCCATCGTTCACATCATACACAAAAGTTAAAAAGATATGATAAATGAAGCGCGAAAATAATGACACTCATTCGTTCACACATGAGCTCAAAGCCCAACCTCCCGAAGAAAAAAAGCAACAACACAATTACTTGCTCTCGTTCAAAACCATGTTCTCTCCCATATACTTAGCGAACGAAGCTGATTTCTTTTCCTTCGTCTGTGTGACATGTTGTACGGTATTCAGAATCATTTGTAATGGAGAAAATTGCATTCATTCGCCCAACAAAACCATCTCAAGTATGCGGCGTAATTTGTTCTCCGGTTACCGCCGCACTATTTGGCATAGCTCTTGATAGTTGCATTCGGCAACGTCATTATTTCAATGAGTGTGTCGCTTTGTGTGCGCCTTCAATCATTGCAAGCGGCTTTTTTTCATGCCTTCCAATAGACAAATGATGAAATGGAAGAAGATTGTCGCCATATTTCTGGCGTTGTGTGTGTGTATGTTGTTGTTGTTTTTTTTCTCTTCATATTCATTCTTCTCATTTTTGCATGGAATAAATAAATCGATTGAAAGGTTCACGTTGTGGTGAACTGTAATAGCAACAAAACAAACACATGTATAACCATAAAATTGAAAAAAAAACTGTATTTCATGCTTTAATTAAACCCGTTCATTTATTTAAATGCATATAACGTGTAATTAGAACAAGGATTGTGCATTTAGACTCGTAAAATAAAATTGACATATTTACTTTGCATTTCGCGCGCGCGCGCTCACGCTCAAGCGTTCTGCTATCTCCACTTCATCCTGCATCGATGACGGGAGCTCGCGCGAGCGCGGCATCATTGAGAGATGAATGAAACAAATGAAAACGAAACAAGCAGAGAAAGAATGATGAAACAGAAAGAAAAAAATATCCACACAAACACAGCAGCTCACTCTTGCCGTACAAAAATAAACAGAATTCGTTTAGTGATTGAGGCAGCGCAACACATGCACGCCAATTTAAATATGCAACGAACGGCGTCAGGCGTGATGATAAGTGGCCAATGGTGTTTACTGTACATATTCAGCAAACAAGATTGGAGTTTGAGTGTTACATTTGCATTCAACGTGTATTTATTATTAGCTAAGCACTTTAATTGCTCCTCCGGTTTTTCCATTCTGACGGTTGTTGGTTGCGATTTGCTGCCATTGCCACTCTGCTACTGTGACTGCGATTGCCTGTGGTCTGTGTTCAGACGGTTCAATTATATTTCATTCATTTACTGGTTGAGTTACTATTTTACTCGGTAAACATTGTGTCAAATTGGTTTAATTTCCTCTTTGCCGAAATGCATTCGGTCGCTCTCACTCTCTCTCTCTCTTGCACACTTGCTCGCGTCGCTTCCTCGAAAACCAAATTAAGTTTGGAAAATTGAGTGAAACGATACATATGAATCAGTGCGAAGCAGCTAATTTTAACCTTGTGTTTTTGTAAAATGCATTCAATATTCATTTCATTATTACCTACCGCATAAAATGGAACTTTGATTGCTTGAATATTTATCTCTGTGGCACGGTGCATGGCACTCTCCGTGTCTCTCGCTCTGTGTGTGTCTATAGGCGGTTCATTATGTGATAACTATGTATAAATAAACAGTTTGGGTAGGGTAGTACATGCAACCGCAGGCGATAGACTCTACTGCCATATGTAAATATTTTATCGCTGTCAAGTGTTTTCTATGTGCATTCTGCAAATAATAATATACAGAAAATTGCAATCTTCTTTTGTGTCGCACACCGTTTTAGTTTCACTCTTCATTCAGAATCTGTCCGGTCAAATTATCTCCACGCATTGTATTTATTTTCGCTTTTTTCTGTTTTGTTTTCAAATTAAAATTGAATTGCTCAACACATTCATTACACGGCAAATTATCCGTATTTCGGTTTTGCAATGTCACGTGGTCATCACCAAGTTAATTAACCTTTGCATCTCAATTATCTCGCTATTCACTCGAGAAATGTGTGTTTTTTTTTGCGGCACTGTCTTTCGCCTTTCAGATTTTTGGGGGCAATTTTCTGTGTGTATCACGAAAATAGCTGTTATTCCCCTGAAATGTAGCACCGTTATCGAAAATGATGATAAGATGCGTGAGAGTGAATTTTGATGTCAAGCCTGGTGTTGATTCATTTGTGCTACTGTATACGCAACAAACATGTCAATCTCGTGGAATGTATTTCTATCGAATATTCATGCCAAATATTTGTATTTTCAATGAAACGACGAGGAAAAAAAAACTGTCGAAATCAATAAAGTAGAAGAAGAAAAAAAAATGTATGGGAAATACTTACCGAAGCCGGTGGATGCCTTGCATTTGTTGGATACATTTTGTTTGTGGTTTTTTTGTGGAGATGAATTGTGTCTGAATAAATCCTTTACTGTTTTAATATAATCCAATGATAACGGCCAGGTTTTTGTTTTCAAAACTGAATTCAAATTTACCAGAAAAGAAACGAACTCAAGTTGATTGTATCACTGTATATTCCAATCTGATTAAATTACTTCTAAGAAATCATAAAATGAACCAATCACTGATTTCCGTTTAAATTGAAAATTAAAATAATAATTTTCTAATCGTTGGGGTCTTCAATTCACAGAACTATCGCACTAAAAAAAACTTCACCGCGTTGTTTTCTTCGTTACTTTTTTTTTAATTCTCTTCTTGTATTTTGTTCTTAGAAAGCGGAATTGAGCGCGCGCTTTCAAGTTTCGTACATGTAAAACTAACACACAATATACACGTCAAACGTCAAAAATCTAACCTCAAACGAAGAATGTGTTTTGAAGAGCGTCGCATCAAACAAATACTATCAAAATAGGGTCACACTGTGTGTATGGCTGTGTTATGTGCCACATGAAGATCGAGATATAGAGAAACTACGAATTAAAGCCGAGCGCCGCAATTAATATCATCTGTGTATTGTGCACTAATTGTGAGTGCCAAATGCTTGGGAATTGTGTAACTGTTTAATTCAAACTGATGAGCAAGAAAAGAAGAAGCGGTTGCTTATATATATATATACGAAAATAAAGAATTTTATTTTCTGCTTTGCCGTCGATGTCGATAGCGATCAAAGGCTTTAGCAGTAGCAATACTTTTTTCTTCTTCAAACACTTATTATTGTTGCTTTTTTGTTGTTTTTTTTTTCTCTTCTGTCGGTTTTTATTTGCTCACACACAGGAGATGTAATAAAGCATCTGCAATTAGCACGGTGTTTTTTTATACTCTGTACCTAATTGTGTCGACAAATTTATCTACGTCTCATTTACTTTGAATGTGTTTTCTTTCTGCAGTCGTTTTATGTGCTCCTTCGTGATATTCAAATTCAGGTATCTTCTTCAGATCAAATCACACTCACAAAACTTCCAACAAATGAATGAACAAGAAAAAAATAGCTAAACCGGTGATGACGCTTTGTGTTAGATTAACTTTCCGAACACTCTTTATTGGTTGGAATCTTCTTTTTTTTTCTCTTTCTTTGTTTGTTTTGTAAATATCTGTCGTTTTTCCCCTATTTTTTTCGTTGTTAAACTTATTTTTCGGTTATTTTTTGCCTTTTTTTATTCATCAGAGAGCAAATATTTCGCAATTTCACTGGCGTATATTCCTCACTGTATATTTTTTTTTTATTATTATTTCTTTACTTTTGTCTCTTCTTCACTTGATGAATGCGTTGCTGATCGAGTCGATAAAACACGACTATGATGTCGATGATGTTGTAATTTTACAGCTAAAACCGATGATATCAAACGTTTTTTTCTTTCTGTTGTTATGTGTTGAATGTTGCAGCAAATGAAATTGCTATTTGCCGATTGTTGATTGCGTCGGACGATCAACTCATTATTTGTTTGAAAACTTGCATTGAATTTTTTTTTTGTTTGCTGTGTAAATTAACACTGATGTCTTGCTTTGATCTTCATCCAAGCAATTTATTCTCTTTTAACAAAATTCACAAACAATTGTTCGTCGGATGTGTTGAGAAACTTCGAAAAATCGTAACATTTCGTGCCGTTCCCATGTGTATACCACACTAAGTAAATCCAAAACTTCGATGATGAAAAGAAAAACACACTAAAATATTCTAATTTCTTTTCTTTATATTCACACTGAATAATTCGGTTAAATCACTTAATTTATCTTATAGTCTCAAGTACCGGATGAACGATATTTGGGTGAAATATAAAAAAAAACCAAATCGAAAACCTTCTGTTGTTTGCAATGAGTGAAAAAATAATATTAAACACACGCCGACATGAGCGACAGTCGAAAAATACGACGCGTCCACTTCGATGATTCCCTCGTAAATGCGATTGAACAAACAATCGAATACATAAAATGCGTTGAACCAACGGATACGGAGACGCTGCGTGTGCCGAGTCGTCAGACGCATGTCTATTCGCCAGCAGGCACGTAATCGAGACGACCTGAACGCTTGCCACATATACATAGCACCATGGATCGCACAGTCAATTTGTTTGACTTGATTTGTGTGTATATGTGTGTGTGTGTGTCTCTCTGTCCGTGTGTATGTCTGTGTGGTGGTATGACGGCGTCGTATAGCTCATCGTGTTGTTCGTGTGTTCATTCGGCTCTAATAATGATTTGATATGGTGTTTGGCAGCGCCGATGCACACACTAAATGTGTATAAAGAGCTTTATTTAACCATTGAATTGTCGACGGACGGTTGAGACGTTGTTATGTTTGCCCATTTTCGAAAACGCGATGGAATGAGCTGCTTTTGATGCCCATTTTCCTATTTGTTTATTGTTTTTGCCAATTTACTTTTCGTTCGTTCGTTCGCTCGTTCGTTGGCTTGCTTGCATGCTTGTGTTCTCCGAAATACGTGTGTTTCGGCATGTTTTTTGATTGCGATTTTGCGATTTTGCACACACGTATGGGGATCTCCATTGAAATGGAGTGGAGAAGTGGCAGGAAAACGAGAGAACCCTTGAGGCGTGAAAGAGACGGGAACGAACATAGAATGAGCATTCGGAGTCAAATTGTGGCTGTATGGCTTGCGGTAGGTACTCTGGTGAATTACAAACGAAATATGGCAGCATGTATTACATACATAACTGACTGACTGACTGGAGAGAGAGAGAGAGAGAGGGACCGAGACTGTGGTATGAGAATATCAAGCACGTAACAAGGATGGAGTGTAAAGATTTTCTCTGTTGTTTTGCCGAGTGAACACAGCGAAAGAGAAAAAAAGAGGAGGAGAAGAAGAGGCAGCAGCAGCAGCAGCAGCAGAAGGCAGAAGTGAAGAGAAGAGACGAGAATTGGATTGATATACACACGCGAAGAGTTTGATGTGGAAAAATAAGCGATATTTGAACTGAACCCAACCGAATGTGTATGACGGTGAGTTCGCACTATAGGTACCTATAATTGAACACAATTCACAACAATGGGAAAAAAGTGCGCCGGCGTGACATCCGTAAATACGTGTAGAAACATTTAATGCTATAAGTTTTTCGTGGCATTCGCTATGGTTTGGCAATCGTTGTTGTTTTTGTTGTCACTGTTGCTGCTATCTTCGCTCTTGGACGGATTTTTTTTTTCGTTCGTTTTCACCGAAACCATTCTGCGCTTTGGTTTCGGCTTCATTCGCTCCCATTGTGTACCCGTGGCATGCACTATTTTCATTCTCTCTTCTTGCCATTCCAACTGAACATGTACACAATCTTTCGGTTGACGCCGTACTGTAGCCGTCGCTTATTGGTTTGCTCTCTATTGTATTAAAATCATCGCTGTGCAAAAACAAACCAACAAGTACGTGCTTTCGAAAGATTTCGGAATATATTGGATTCCAACCTTCCGCATCGCATGGTACACATTGCCATCATCAAATTGGTATGGGTGGTTATCAATGTGAATTTTCTGTGTGAAATGCTTCAATTTTTGCACACCACCTATTTCTATCCATCGTTTTCTCTCTTTCGTTCTCTGTCTCCACACACATTCCTATTTATGTATAGAGATATATCGGGATGATTTTGATGATGGGACGAATACATAAAACGTGGTTGAGCGCATGATGAAAAAGGCAAAATTCAAAGGGAAGAAAAAATCGCATAACAAGCGCATAAGTGGTATGTATGTTTAAGTTAACTCTCTGGCTGCGCCTTACACTCCACTCTGGAGTGTACAGTGCACAGGAGAGGGACAGATAGAGATAGAGCGCCCGAAACAACACGGATTGTTGAATACACAATGCATGCAAAATGTATGAATATTTTGATAAATATGAATGTATACACACACACACACACGCTACAAGTACATCCCGATCCAATTAATATTCTAGATGGAGCATTCTGCATGGATTCGAACAAATGCACACATTCATTTCACATCGTCCCATGTTCGCTTCCCACGTTTCATTTTATTCTCGGTTGGAATGTTTATTTTATAATCTAAGTGAACGTTTGGCAGGTCCGTTTCCGTTATTTAACCAAATGGCGAGATTTTTTTTTCGTTCAATAATTTTAATGTTGTTTTTGTTGTAAATCAACCCAGTATATGGCTTATTTCGAACCCCCGATATTATTTCTCTGTTCACACTTGATCGATGTACCAATCTGCACCCAACGTCGTTGCGAAAACACCAAACGCGAATGCTTTGGTACTTTGAACGCCACTGCAATAAAGGCTCATCATAAACCATCGTCATCGTCACGATCATCGTCATTGCAAATTGCATGAGTTTGTTTTACAGTATTGGCAGGCGCCCCCGAATGTGGCGCGCAACACTCACACACCCTCTCATTCGCTCAACCGCACCATATCCACATACACCGAGAGCTGTTATGTTATCGAGCATTTTCGTGTCTACATGAAATTTCATATTTTCATTTCATATTTTGAGTGTGAGCACGAGCGCGAGCGCACGTTCCGCTCGCGCGCACAATATATCCGTAGTTGGCGTTGATGAGGTTACGAATTTAGTACATTTATTCGTGTGCACAATATTTCTAGAGGTGGAGGTGCGGAATTTTCCCGTGTTCTCGTCTCATTCTCTTGTTTTATTTTATTCCGCACTGTCTCTCCCTCTCTCTCTCTCCCTCTCTCTCTCTCTCCCGGTGTGTGATATGAATTATGTGAGAAACATGATATGTATGCGCTCGCTGTGCGTCGATTGTGGAATGAATAGGGATCATACACAATTGCCACACATATATACATACATATGTATGTAGGATTCAATATGGTATTTATATTCGCTTATTATTTCCATCACTATGGCTCTTTTCTCGCTTCTGTTTGTTTGCCATAACTGGCATTATATCTTTAAGCGTCTACGTAGTGTGAAAATATATGTGAAGCTTTTGTTGCGGGCAAAAATATACATGATTTGTCTATGGGGATGGAAAACCTAAACCAAATGCCAGTGATATTGTATAGACGTCGATGCTCTCTTTTCTGGTGTATGTGCAGACATGCAGAGCACTATGGCTGTGGTCGAATGTGAGTTGAAGTTTATGATTGTTCATTCGACAGCTTCAGCTGTACCGAAAATATGACACTCACTACTACCGAAATGTACTTAATATCAACAAAAAAAAATACACCCCATTCGCAAACAAATAGAAATGAGAGCACCCGTAAACGAATATAATCTTCACATTAAATTGAATGGATTGATGCCATATATAAATTGTGTAGCTATGGACGCACGTCGCATTTCCTCTTTCACCCTGTTGCCATACATATTAACTTCAAGCTCACTCTCCATCGCCGTCGTCTCCGCGTTCCCTGCGTTCCCTGTTTTTTTTTTGTTCGGTGGCTTCTCTAGTTCGGAGAACTTTTCGAGAGCGTAATAATGTGTTATATCTTTTTCTAGCGCATTCGCATGCAAAACCAACCAACCGTTTCGTGAACCAACAACGACGTCAACGACGACGACGACAACAACAACAATGGGGGAAAACTTGTGCAGATGGAAAATATGGAACTGCTTGTTCCTCGTCGGAAAATAACCAAACAATGGGGTATATGTGTGTAAAGGCGAGCAACTCGGAATGTGCTCTTAAGCGGTGTGTATGTGTGTCGAATATTAGCAGCTACAAATAATTGTGTGTAAATATATATATTCGAAACGATTTGGAGCAAATGAGTTTGGTGGTTGTACTGCTGTGGTTTCGAGCTGTTTTTGCCAATTTCACATCATACCCGTTATTTGGAATTTTATTTTGATTGTGGTTTATTTTATGTAGTGCGGCGTTTTCATGTGTGATTCCATCATGTGTACGCGCGCGTTATATGTATACATACTGGGTGCGATTTTCCACATTTGCCATTTTGATACGTGCGGCGTATGTGTGCTCCTCGTTCGGTTGCCTATATTGGCAGCGAGTTTATTAAATATATCAGTTATTTAATGTGAAGCGTCAACATAAAATCATTTCATGTCAAGCCTGTTGTTAGTGTTGTTTTCTTTGGCGCTTCGATTTCTTGTTCCCCATGCAATTTTGTGTAGTAATTTTTTTTTCCGCAGCAGATTGCTGGGTTGTTATATGTCACGATCCTTTTTTCGTCTCCTCTTTCCACTGTCACTGTTTTTCTTCGTCTTGTTGATTGCCTTATTATTGCTCGAAATTTGACTGCTTTGTCGGTTTCGCCGCTTGTGTGTCGGCAATTCGTTTTTGCTCTTGCCACGTTCATTAGTCATGGGATGGAACTAAATTTTTGTGTTGCTTTGTGTTTTTTTTCGCGGTTGGATTTTTCTTCTTTAGTTATTATTTATTTATAAATTACGTCTTGCACCGATTTTGTTTCTTGGCGTTCGTATTTTTTCTCCCCCATAAATTCCAGTATGTGATTTATAAATAGAAATAATGTCGTGAAAACCGTTTTTTTCTCTTTTATTATTTCAATTTGTCGGATTTATTCAATGTGCCAAGCACACGCTTTTTCTCTAATTTTCTTCTGTATTCAGCGTCAGTTCATTGTTTCTAGCAAATCAGATTAATTTAATTCATACATTAATTCGACCATGCATGAAATTTTGATTGCTTTTTTTCGCGATCTTCTTTATTGTTTGAACGAATTTACCAGTCAAGAGAGTAAGGTTCTGTGGATATGATGAAATTTAAGAAATCTTTAATCATTTTTCGGCTACAAAAGTTGAAATTCACCAAAAAAAAATCTCTGATTTTCATCTAGTTCGATTGTGTTGAGAATAACGCGAAAAAGTAACAATTTCATGATTTTTGAATTTGCACACACGCCATCTATCGAAAGCAACTTGACCTACCAAGACATGCTCGAAGCTTTTCGCCGCCATATGTCATCCATTTTCAGTTAAATCGAAGCTTTCACTTTGAATGAATCATATTTTAATGGCTACACATCCACACACATACATTGCACAAACGCACACGGTCGCAACAACATTTCGATCGAATGAGTATGTAAGCTTCATCTAACTCGTATTCGACAGGAATGAATCAGTCTTCAGGAAAGCGCAACACTGAGCAGAGTGCAAAACAAACGATTCGAGTCGAGTTCAGCAACAGAAGCTCACTTGATCGCATCAAAAGAAAGAAAGAAAAATATCCATTTTTCGTTTGTTCTTTTTTGTTTTAGTTTGAAAGAAAAACAAAAAAAAATTCGCGTTTTTTTTTAAATTAGAAGAAGTATAAAAGAAATTATCGAAGCCAATAAAGTGATGCAAATAATAAACTAAAGTCAGATTCGCACAAAGAGTTTATTTCTTAATTCTAAAATAAAGGAAAAGAAAGTTGATACTGAATGTCAGATTCTATGTTCTTTTCATCAAAATATCAATAATCGTCGAAAATAATCATAACACATGATTTAATAGTCAATTTGCGATAACTAACAAAAAAGTACCAGAGTTCTTTTCGAAATATTACTTGAGATTTAGTGTTGTGATTTGTATTGATTGTTCGAGAGAGAGACAATCATCGCAGAAAATATAGCAAAGTGATTGCAGTGTTGCTAAAGTGTTAAAAAGAGAGTTTTTTTTTTTCTTTCGAAGCGGTGCTTTTTAAGAGAATCAAACCAAACAAACATCTCAAAGTTGATGAGATTGTCGTTGTTGGTATTGACTGCTATACAAATTAAATAAAAGAGAATTAAAATTTGAAATAAACGAGGAATTTAAAGAAAAATCGCCTAAATGCTTGACACAATGGTGGATAATAAAATATTTGTTTATAACGCTGCCAGAGACAACAATTTAGCTGCATTAAAAGTAAGTGTCCGACATCTCTTATTCTATTTGCATCATTTTGTATGTGCATTCTGTGCCGTTTTTTTTAGCTGTTCGAGCTCGTTTTGCTTCTATTTTTTGTGTCACAATCTGCAGATTTTTCTCTGTTGAAACAATTGGATTTGATTTGGTTTGTGATTCGGTTCAGTCTTGTTTGAATTCTGTATGTTTTTTTTTGTTCCTCTCTCCTCCTTCATTCTTTCTCGCTCATCATTTTGACGTACAAATAAATCCACGCGCTGTCGTTCTACGTACCATTTTGACAAACACAACGAAAACACCAAGTACCACTACATATTGATTATCATCAGACCTTGTGCGGATGTTCTGTTCGTCTTCTGCGTTACACCGTCTGTCTGCCGTTTCATACACTGAATATGAGAAATACACATGCATAAAAGTGCGTCAAAGTGTGCGTGTTGGTTTTTGTGGTTGTGTGCGATTTTCTTGGTGTAATTCATTTTCATACTATATGCTGTGTGTATACATATTTCGTTTGCGTTTTGTTTGTTCAACCGAGTACGAAACATATGTGTTTCAACAATACACGATAGTATACTTTATGATTCCTAGTTTTTTTCGAATTGTTAAGCGTACAAAATACGGAACCAAATCCACGAGCTGACTTCAAGTATGAACACACAAAGAAGAGGGAAAAAAATGAGCGTAAAATACGCCGAGACACATTCAATGCGCAAAGATGTTTCGGGAAATTCGCTTACTAAGAGAGTGGGAGATTTATTTATCGATGAAACAAACAAATAAAAAAATAAATCGTGTCGATCTTCTTTTAAAACAATGCGATTGGGTTGAGTGAATGCGAATTTGTTTGGATTTCTTTTCTCTTATTTTTCCTGTGAAATGTGCCCGATTCTCTGACTCATGTCAGAGATATTTTCTGCGAATCCATTTTTTGTTTTATTTCATTTCTTTCCGTTCTCAACTCTAATCTCGTTTGGATGTCATACAGATGAAGAAAAAAGAAACAAGTGAAGAGATGCGATTTTGCATTGAAGTGTGTCTAAGAAAGAAGAAGAAAAAAAATATCAATAAACAAACAAATTGAACTGATTCGCAAAAATTTTCTGATGCAATAAGTCACTTTATTAAATGCATACGCCAAAACTAACATAAAGATATGGCGATTATTGCATACGATTCGTCTTTATTTCAAAGTAAACTTTCAATTGAAGCGAGTGACAGAGAGAGATAGACGAAGACAGAAAATAAAACACGTACACATATTTTCAAAATGGCACATTTTTATTGGCGGAAAATGACGATAGAGTTGTTTTGCAGCCTAGTTTTCTGTGTTTCGCTTTATTCGCTACTTTCTTTTACTGCATATTTCTTCTGATATTTTACCATTGAACGAGAGAGATTATTGCATTAGCTCATTCGCAATGCGGCTGCACGATGTTACGAAACGACTTCATGTATCGTTTGCGAATGAATAAAAATGCGCTCATGTCGATATTGTTCCCTTATCCCACAACCATATTTTCCTATGCTGGTTCAGTATTGTAGCGCGGTAATATTAAAATCCATATCGGTGTGCATGCACCAGAGAGAATCCTTGAACTTCAGCTTATTGATTTTTCTCTCAGGCGCTAAAAGTCTCTTCTTCATTGCTTTGCGACACACAGTCACATAGTCGATGAGAACGAAGCACAGGTTCACATTTTTGCACAGAATCACAGCGAGTTATATAAAAAAAATTGGCAATGCGTTCGGTAACTATGCGGTCATCGTCGTCGGAGGGTGTTCAATTGAGAATAGTTTACTAGAAAACGCTAATCGGCAATTAAGACAGAGGCTATTGCCATCGTTTTAAATTGGATAATTGAGCAATTGTTGTTGCTTTTTCATCGTTTACGATGAAATGCTACATGATTACACATTTTGGGCTCGCGAGTAAACGAACATAAATTAAAAGTTTCCGACATACATGTCAAAGAAAAACGAAAAAACAAATTGCGAGCGTTTCGCTGTTTCAATCGCATTTGAACTAGTTTGCATATATGGAAACGAGGTCAATAACATGTGCGCCCGTCACAATTGCTGAATCAAGTTGAACAATTTTTCAAATCGATTGAACGTTTGATTTTCATCATTCCGTGCTTGTGTGTGTGGCTGTGGAAATATTCTGTAATCTCGTTACTATGTACAGTTACACCCAACCCAATCGAATTGCGTCGGCTAAATCAGCTGAGCTTCGTCGTTATTTGCAGTTAGTGATTACTCTCTATGTACATGGCTTCTGGAAGAAACAAAAACTGCATACACCCATCTCGGATCCAATCAAATAATTGACACGTATCAGAGCGTTTGGCTCTTCGATATGATACTCGATGAGAACATTTTTTTAGCTATAAATTCCAGCTACACCAGCGACCGAGGTCAGATTTATTGCGTTCATTTATAGAAAGTAATAAACAAATTGAAAAGAAAATTTGTCAATCACAATCAAAACAAAGCAGTTATTTTTGGTACGTCAGTGACGAAAACTGAACACTTGTGTTTTTGCAACAACCAAGGGGGTATTCAAATGTCACACTTTGCCCAAGCGGAATAAAAAAAGAAACCACACACCCAGTTCGATGGCGACAACAACTCGGTTTGTTATCAACAACAACAGCAGCAGCGCAACAGCAGATATGTTATATCACTGCTTGGTATTAAATCGATTAAAAAAAAAATTTCCATGTTAATGTCGAAGCCAAAGCAAGTGAGTGCAAATAAACAGATGATTGCTATTGGATTTCGCATACGTTCCTCTGTCGCCCGAATGTAATTCAACAAAGCGACGTTTATGAAATGAGTGCGAGAAAAAATACAATGCATTTTTTTGTCAGCGTTCTTTATTCGAATCGCATACAAGATTTAATGGGTTGTAAGTTGCACACACACACTCAGTACTTAGCTGTTCCACTCACTCGGCGCATTTAATCATTGCAACTTAATAAGCCAATCATGTCCGAATCGATGAACAAATCAAATGCGCACTACATTCAGTTATGACGACTTTTGATTAACTCATGAGCTGTAAACATTTCGAGATTAAAATACATCAAGTCATTTCCCAAGAAGCCGGCCAACGAATGAATAATTTCGTGATTTTTTTTTTGGATTTGAAAGAGCAAAAGCCGCAAAAACCCACTGGGTTCGAAATTTTTGTTTCAATATACTTTGAATGTAACGCTCAAGCGTTTGATGTTATTGTTAACGATTGAGCATAGAATGATCGTTGACTATTGAATTCTCGTTTAAAACTAAAATAAAGCAACAACAAAAAACTGCACACACAAAGAGACAAAGAACGACGCAAAACACATCTCGCGCATCGCGTCGTAAGTAAATGGATAAGGCTATTGACTTTCTTGTTTTCCATTCGCAAATTCTCGTCGTCGCGTTACGTTTTTTTTTCTTCGTCGAATTGAATTCGAAGGAACATTCATGAACGTAAACAAGGAGGAAAACAGGAATATTCGTTAGCAGTCAATTTCTCGGTTATTGCTGATGGAGCTTCAATTTCATGACAGCTGAAACGCAAAACGAAACGAGTAGAAAACCCGAAGCAACAACAACATGAAAGAAGCAAGCGACTATTTGGACATTTGTCGTCACATTCGACATATGGTTTGCGCGCATATGAAACACTCAACGAGTTGAGCCATTCTTTGTTGTTGTTGGTAGATCTTCACGCACACTTGACACCGTTCTTAATCGCTTGAATTGAATCCCATATAAATTTCATGAAGATGATATTTCCGTGTGAAACGTAATCAGCACATTCAAACGAAAAGTCTTTGAAACGAGACAAAAATACACTCAACGGGGTTCTTGAACTGCAAAAATTAATGACAATTTCGTCTTGGAACCGACTCGGTTCGACCGAGAACAAACCGAAAAAAAATTCCCGGTTCACTGCCTGTTTATCTAATCGAAAGAAATTTATTTAAATTTTGTTGTACGAAGCTAGAAGCTGCTGAATGATTTCAGAACTAACTAGAAGCGATTTGTTTGTTTGATACAGAACAATAAAATAAAATTAACACATTTGTGCACATGTTTTAGCGTGAATAATGCAATGACTCATATGATTTCGAAACACGAAAAAAAAAACACACACTGTCGGCGATCGCTTTTTGTTCAGGTTCGCGTATACACGGAACGTTGTGCACAAACACCGTCGTCTTACTATACATATGATTACTTTGCACAAAAGAAACAAAAATCCCAGTTGAATAAAGAACGGAGAATCTATTCTCAGCAACAATTAAATAATGTGCTGTTTATTCACAAAACATTTGTATCCGTGCTGTTTCTGTTTTTTGCACTGTTCATTGTTCCATACTATCATGGAGTGAGAAATTAAAATTTATTTTTCAGGATTTCAATACAATTTTCAACTAGATTTCTTGCGATAATTCATAGATTTATTATTTAGTTTAGAATAATGAAAAAAATGACAGACAAAACATGTGTGTAAAATGAATTGCTCATACGATGACGACGAATTAATGAACATAAAATAATTGTTTAACTACCTTATTCGTGTGATTGAAATAAAAATAGCCTATACACGTTGCAATGACGCGAATATTTTACATTCGAAGCATCATCCTCGAATTGAATACGTATTTATGTATTTATTAATATCAAGTGCATTGAAACCGCGGTGCATATACGGATTTGCGGTGCAAAACTGTGTGCAACAATAAATAGAATATCTTTCGTGAGAGAACTAGTGCAAAAAGAGCAACAACGGCAACAACAACAACAACAGCACCGTCTGATTTATGCAGCTTCTATCTCATTCATTTGCCGTTGGCCTTGAATGTGACTCAATGTTCACAATGCACCTATATACATTTTATTATTATTATTATTATTACTATGGTTGGAGACAAAAAATGACCGTAGAACAAAAGAGCAACATTCAAACTCGAAAGAGAACACAAGCCGCTGGTTGATGTTAA